CATTAACATCAGTCATGCAGTCAAGAGGCAGACAGCAATATTCACCATCAATTAATATTGCAGTGCTGACATACCTTGATGCAGGGGCCTGCGTGAAAATACCCCCCCCACCCCCCCCAAAATAAGAAGGCAATTCTGAATTCCGATTTTGGGAGGGGGGGAAAAACACCACCCCCAAATTTTGTTTGCTGATGTGTTTCTTGTATTTGCTATAGCTTACCGCTGAATAAAACATGGCCATCATCATTAGCAGCAAAGACAAAAAATGAGAGGCAGGGCATGTGTGCTATGTATTGTAAAAAGGGAAGTGGCGTAATCCATTTTTCATTAAGAATTTACTTGATCACGTGTTCATATTCCACATGATTGATGTTATACAGTGCCGTGAAAAAGTATTTGCCCCCCCTTCCTGATTTCTGGAATCTTTGCATATTTATGACACGCAAAGATTGCAGTTCGACAAATCAATGTTAATATCGCAGAGAAAACCAAAGGAAATACAAAATTCAGTTTTTGCAGTTTTAATTTATTTTGAGACACACATGAAAAAATTGCCCCTGAACCTAATAATCATTTCCAATCCATTATATTAAATGTATGGTTACTGTTATTTGGTGTTCTAATGTATAGCTGTAAAATTTACAAAAAAAAACAAAAAAAAACGAAATGAGCATTGTGTCCTCACAACCTTTAATTTCAACATTTTATAAGAAAAAAAATACATTCTACAATGTACAAACGGCATAATTTTAGTTCTTCTGAAGGCCTTAACTTTGTCATGATACATTGGGCTCAAAGTGCTGACATGATGCGTCTCCCGTTCCCTAAAACCAAAAGGCAACATTCCTCGCCATTTCACTGCTATGCATAAACAGCCATTTTACACAATCACACCCACTTGAGATTGACTCCCATCTATTCAAGGCAAAGCGGTGCAAATCCATACACTTGGGCTCGGAAGTAAAATGCAGGCGAGTGTGTGTTGCTCTTGTGAGGAGTCTGATGCTGTTGGTTCGTGACGATAATTTACATGCTTTTACTGGGGGTACGCTTCAATCACCATGGCGTGACCCTGAAAAACAGACGTGTGTCAGGAGAAAAATGAATACAATAAAAAATAAAAAAAATTTAAAAAATGTCAAGTTTATGAAAATGACTAACCAGTCCTCCGGCAGCACACGCTGCCACAAGTCCATACTGTCCTCCTTCTTTCTGCAGTCTGTGTGCGACCGTGGTTACCAGTCTGCAACCGGTGGCACCGAAGGGATGACCCAAGGACAGAGAGCCTCCCCAGTTATTGAACTTCTCCATCGGGGGAGTACCCACCTTTCAGGAATTTCGTGGAGATTGCAGTAAGTAAATGGATAGTGACAGATTCAGACTTTTTTTTTTTTTAAAAAGTACATTTACCTTTGATTTTCTTCCCATGTACGTCTGGGCAAACCAATCAGAGTCCATAGCCTTCAGATTTGCCATAATCTGACCCTGGAAAGCACAGAGATAGGCAAAACATCAGCTGCGCTCACTTACCGCCGTACTCGGCACACAACTCTTGCGTAACCTTTTCCCAAACGGCTTGCGATAACTTACTGCAAACGCCTCGTGGAACTCAAACACATCAATGTCATTCATGGTCAAGCCAGCACGTTCTAAGGCTTTGGGTGTCGCGTACGTTGGCCTGAAAGAGTCAGATAATAGAATCGTCAACTAAAATATGGTTTTGGGAAAGGAATACTTATAAACAGAAATATATCTGAGAAAAAAAAAAAACTATCAGGGTAAGGAACCTGGGGGTGACTCACCCCAGGAGTAGCTGATCTTTGGGGTCCTGAGACACGAAGACAAAATCTCTGTCACGAGGAATAGAAAGAATCATCAATCAAGTGTTATTTGGGGTGAAATGTCAGCTGTGTAGTTACCTCAGGTAGGCTTTCGGCTTGTAGCCCATAGCCAAAGCTTTCTCTTCGGACATGATGAGCACAGCAGAGGCACCGTCAGTCTGAAAGCATGAACAAGTATAACCCAGGTTGGTAAGGGAAAACAAACAAGAGGCAAAGAAGCTGTAAATGCTGAATGACCAAAAAGGAGGAGTTGGCGGCGGTGACGGTGCCGTGAGGCTTAACAAAGGCTGGTTTCAGTTTGGCCATCTGCTCCTTGGAGGATGGACGAATGCCGTTGTCCTTGGAAACAATATCACGGCCTAAAAAGTTAATAGGCAAGTTTTTTTTTTTAGCAAACAGGATAAGTAATAAATAAATATACCACAAAGAGGTGCGGGTTCATTGCACACCGGTCTTTCATATCTACTGAGGTTTATTATAAAATACACGTGAAGAAATATTTACCTGGCACTTTAAAGGAGATGACATCCTCGAGCAAACCTGCATCCTGAGCTTTTTTGGCAAATGTGTGTGATCGCAGAGCAAAGTCATCCTGCTCCACTCTGGAAACGCCAAACGCAGCGGCCAGGCGATCAGCACTGTGCCCCATTGTTTCGGCTGTGGAGAACTCTGCAACGGCGGGCAGCTTCAGGTACGTGAAGGAAAAGGTGCGGCATTATTTATGGATGTGATTTTTGGCAATGCCACAGACATTTCATATGTTTACAACTGATCCGCATAGAACACATTTCGGTGCACCCTTACTTATTAACAATACTGTGAATACATACTTCTGGCGAGAGGTGCGCCAGACGGATGCTGCCGATCAAACTGAGCCTCTGGCCGAGGGTCTTTGCCTTGTTGAGCGACAGCATCGTCTTCCTCATCTTGCGGCTGTGACGGATAGGAACGTCCGACATGAACTCGACTCCACCTGCCACTATGGCATCACACTGCCCGGCAGCAATTAGGCCTACCGCTATTAAGAGCGGGGGAAAGAAACAGAAATCAGGCAGGCAAAACAAACTGAATCAGGTTTATTAGTTTGCTCGGAGCAAACTAAATGATTAACTTACACTGTACTGTCTAATGTCATTTTGGGTCACAGTGCAGGACCACATTTCAATCAGCAAAAATCAAATCTTGCTTGTTGTGCAAAGAAATACTAGTATTGGCACGTTGCAACTATCCTATCCAAAACATGATGACACTTGTTAAGACTTTAAGCACCCGTGGAAAAACCTGACAATGACACTGTAGGTCATAGAGGCTCTGCTTTACCTGACGTCATGGCCTGGTTGGAGGAGATGCAGGCCATGGTGACTGTGTGAGCAGGGATCCTGTCGGAGAAGCCTGCACCCAGCGCCGCCTGAGAAAACAGTGAGGCATGATGATCATCACCAATCCCGGTGCACTACTTTACATATTTTAAGTTAAAATGAGTGTTTAAAATACCTCTCTTGCAACATTGCTTGTCTTAACCTCCTGAATGACGGTTCCATAAATGATGTAGTCCACAGCATCTTTGGGCAGGCCTGTTTTGTGCAGGAGACCTCTACATAAAAAAAGAAAGGGAAAAAAATATTAGCGTGAATAAAAGGATTAGTGATGGAAAATGGACATACACTTACTGTAGAGCTGCTCTGGCCAAGTCATGGGGCATCAGGTCAGCATAGCTATAAACAAAGCAAAATCAACATTAAGCTACTGAGGTCCGTTTTCTCATTAAAACTGTCAACGTAGGTCACATTTTAATTGTTAAAATGGATAAGCTTCCCTGAAAAAGCCTGTGCAGATGAAGAGGACACTAAACAAATACGTACGTAGTTCCAGACATTAGGAAGGGGGTTCGTACTCCTTCGACTAGTACTATGTTCTTTACGCCAGGACGGGTCAGTGTCTTCTTGCTTTTTGTCTGAGCTGGAACAAAAACAACTGCAGATTAATACGCTGATAGTCATTAGCCTCATGCTTGTGTTCACGCAAACAGTGGGGGTCTGCACCTTGAGCCTGTAGCTGAGTCGTCATGCTAAGGGATCGTGCGGCTGAAACACAAAAGACATTCCGCAAAATCAGCACTTATGATTTAAATAGTTTGAATAAAAATAGGCACAGCAGCGCTTGAAATAGACCCTCCATTTGGCGGGTCACCCTCTGTGATGTACAGTTTTTGGAAGACTTAAGCAATTAGACCAGATGTTGATGGCTTACCATACTGCATAGCCCAAGAGGAGCTGACAGGGGAGCGCCGCATCGACTTCAAGAGCATGGAAGCCATAACGTTCTGCAAAACACAGTGTGATGTTCCATTGGACTGGTTCCACACCAGAACGCCTTACTACTAGGTAACAAATGAAGTTTAATCTAATCTAATCTAAAAGGTTTAAATGCCGGCACAGACAGCAAAGCAATACTATGTCGTTTAAATGACATTTAATTGACGGTCACTCAGTCAACCCACCCCTCCTCACCCCGTCTATGACCCTTCACCTAGATTTGCTAACTGGAGAGCGTCAAGACCAAAATGGGCTCAAAAGTAATTTCAAGGCTGATTGTGCATCTACCTTTGTTTAAACCGAATATCTACAAACACGCAATTGAAACATTTCGTTTTGTGTTACAGCACTGTGTTGAGCATGGGACTGTTAGCTTCCTGGCGGCGCTGCATTCTTTCATCGCCAAGTTTCCCTTAAATTTTTTCAAATTCTTTTTGGGCGATCACAGCATGCTTGAAATAGTTTGTAAAATCAGTTACTTTAATTAAAATGAGGCAACGTTTTTACCTGTACAGTACTTCAGGTGTGTATTGCTTGAACGCTTCCCTGTCAAAGGCTTAGCCGTGCACAGCACAGATGACTACAAACCCCCTTTCAGTTTCTAGGACCCAAGTTTCTATTAGCTGACCAAAAATTTGCCAGAACAAGTTAATGGTTCGAAATGACAAGATGGACCGTATATAATTTTTCAGGATTTATACTGCAAAATTAATATTTCACATACAAACTTAATATTATTTACCCTAAAATTAGTAATTATTGTTTTGACTAAGGAATATTTATAGCATGGCGATTTATTTAGCTACTCATAGTCCTAAAGTCACTTGACTCTCCAAAATCTCTTGCGCCCTCTTCAGTTCGAAAATCTTTTCTCAGTTTCCACAAGAAGACATGGCTGCTACGCTTTTTGCCAGCTCATTCTCTAGGTTTCCTACCAGAAAGTTCTTCCTCTTGCCAGGTACGTGACACAAACACACATAATAATCTACTACTTAAAATTCTGACCATCCCTGAATTTAAAGTTTCATTGAGCGAGCTGAGGTTAACCTTCGCCGAGATCAGAGCAACAATAATTAGAGATTACGCATGGTGGTGCTATAGTGGCTAAAACTCTTTTACAAACGTACCTGCACATATACGTGCACAGTTCATATTGTGTGCTTTGATTTGACGATTTATTCCCCCACAAAAAATGCTTGAAATATCACAAACAAGGTTCAAAGTGTTTTTTATGATTATTGTGAACAGCAGTGAAATATGCTTTCACCTGCACAGTGCAAAGGAATTCTTATTTTACCTTCTACTCGGATGTCAACATAATTGTAATTGCAATTAAAACAAAATACAAATCAAAACAACAGTCTACAATTAGAGGCATAAAAGAAAACGAGTTAAAGACATCTGTAGTAGTTATTGTCATGTATGGTTTGGAATATGTTTTTTTTCAGGGATGATTAATTATATCTGGAGCCAATATTAATTTGCAATAATGGGAAAAATATTGACGTCAGAAAACCAAACACAATCTTACACACACACACACACACACACACACACACACACACACACACAAAAAAACTCGAACTGTAGGCTGTGCAAGGACAAAGTGGTAGTAGACGAGAAGCACAATACACAGAGGTTTGATTTACAAGGATGTGAAAAAAATAATACAACACGGTATGATTAGAGTCCGTACTGTTAAATGTATGCATTAGTGTGGTTTACCAGTGACACAATATATGGGCAATGTAGCTTAAATTTCATAATCTGTCTCTTGTTTCATAGGCTATGCAAGACGGTGCATCTCTGTGTCCTCCTCGCTGGCAGGTAGCTATCCGGTTTTGTCCTTGCGCAAGGACATTGTTCAGAATTTGTGACTCTTATATCCTCATGGGACAGGTGTTGAAGTTGTAGATACTAACAATTCAAAACGTATAGACATATATCTGACCATCTCCTATTTTACTATTTTCTCCATCAAGCACGGACACACGTCAGCTACGAGCTCAAGGATGATGTTGCGGTTATCAGATTCAACGATCCAGCATCCAAGGTAAGTCTGTGTTTACGAATGAGACACATGGCAAAAGGATTGTGACAGCCTTCTTTTTTCCCCGACTCAGCCTTGTGGTGAGGTACTGTATATGACATGATTATTCATGTGTTTGTGCAGGTGAACACACTGTCTGTGCAGATGCAGTCTGAGCTGACAGAAGTGATGAGTGAGATCTGGTCGAACGGAGCTGTGAAAAGTGCTGTTCTTATCTCCAGCAAGCCTGGCTGCTTTATTGCTGGGGCAGACATCAAGTAAGATGCACATTTTGTACTTTCCAAACTACAAATCTCAGACACCGTGCATGTGCACTGACACTAGTGCAAATTAATGTATCTGGATTGCACATACAGTTTTTGCTTATGGGACTTTTGTAGCAGGGCCTATCGCATAAAAACAACCTTCTGTCCACTGTTATGCATTGGTTGTCTTCCTTGGATGCAAAATTGAAAAAAGAAAAATATTTTAAAGGCATTTGTCTTTACGGATTCCACAGCATTGTCCTTTGCTTTCTTCTCAGTATGATCCAGGCCTGCAAGAGTCGGGAGGAGGTTACCCGTCTCTCTCGGGAAGGTCAGAAGATGTTCGAGAGGATTGAGAAATCTCCCATCCCCATTGTTGCCGCCATCAATGGCTCCTGTTTGGGTGGAGGCCTCGAGGTGTTTGTTTGCGTGTGTATGTGTGTGTGCGCGCTCATATGTCTAAAATAGATTAGAATAAAGAATAAATTGGGAATCTATGTTTAAAGTGAACCCTCTAACCTTTTTGTGACCTCTGCGTAGTTTGCCATATCCTGCCAGTATATAATCGCTACCAAAAGTCGGAAAACAATACTGGGCACACCAGAGGTCTTGCTTGGACTGCTGCCTGGAGCGGGCGGTACCCAGAGACTACCGCAAATGGTATACAAACACACACACACTCATGTTAATCGGTCATTATGAAAGGCTCATAAGCTCTGCCGCATTGTTGTGCTAGTGGCAAATGAATTACACTCCAGTATTTTAAGGTCAAGCCTCTTAAGGGGCATTTTAGTTGACAGTACATGAAATATGTCTTTGTGTGCGTGCGTGCGTGCGTACGTGTAGGTGGGTCTGTGTGGAGCATTTGACATGATGCTGACAGGCAGGAATATCCGTGCTGATAAAGCGAAGAAAATGGGCCTAGTGCACCAGCTTGTGGACCCTCTGGGTATGTGCTCGGCATGACATTTTTTTCAACATGTACATTTTATTGCCACGCTGGAAAAATCAACAGTCATGAATGCCAAATTTCCGTCCCTCGTATTTATGAGTTGCCTTTATTCCATTCATGTCCCTGCAGCTTTCTGCATCATGTTCTTTTCCATTACAACTTACGTAATCATGCTCGTGTCAAGAGTTTGCTTTATCCAGGTACTGAAATTATACCTCCCTTTCGATGTAATGACACTGGACGGACTGTGTCCAACCAGGTCCTGGTTTGAAGCCGGCGGAGGAGAGAACGATTGAGTACTTGGAGGAAGTGGCAGTAGGCGTGGCCAAAGGCATCGCCAATAACACGGTTCCCCTTTCAAAAGAGAAAAGTGTCATGCAAAGTAAGTGATATCGCGGTCGTCCAAATCTCTCTGGAACATAACAGCGGTTTGCTTACTGTTATTCAGCCAAACTGAATCGGCTCACTGTTGAGAACGATCACCAAATTCATTGTGGGGTGGCGGCGAATGCAAAGAAACATAAATAAACTATCAATAGCGCAATGGTCCCCGTTCACATTAACTTTGTGTTGGTGTCTAGAGCTACAGGACACAGTGATGGGTCTCGGCCCTGTCAAGAAGACAATCTACAGGACTGTCAGCGAGAAGGTTCAGAAACAGACTCAAGGACTCTACCCCGCGCCTGTCAAAATCATTGAGGTAGTCAATGCAGACAGAATGTGGCAATCAGCAGTAGGATTCAAAGACAGGATTTAATGACTCCGTGTGTGTGTGTGTGTGTGTGTGTGTGTGTGTGTGTGTGTGTGTGTGTGTGTGTGTGTGTGCGCGCGTGTGTGTGCGTGCGTGCGTGCGTGCGTGTGTGTGTGACTTTACATACGAGTAGTCGATCAAGACTGGAGTGGAGCAGGGAAGAGAAGCAGGCTATCAGGCGGAAGCTGAGGTGTGTTTACTGTTTTTATTGTTTCACAAATGATATTTTTTGGGCAAAGCAATGAGGTTAGATGTGATATCGTATAGAATTAGAAATAAAGCCACTACATTTAGAGAAGAGTGGAGAAAAAAGTAAAATACTGCAGTCGGGAGAAGATGCAGTTGTGTTGTTGAAATCTATCCGAATGGTGAGATGGAAAGAGAGGAGCTGATTGCATCATGGGACGTCCCTGAGCAGTCTAGGCCCATAACAGTCAGTCCTAAATATAAATGTATCAAAAAGGCACGTCCTCTTAAATATAAATTGAGTGTCTGCTTCCCTGGGGAAAGAGAGAGAGAGAGATTCACAATGTTTCCACCGGAGAGGCGCCTGGTTTCTGAAGGAAGACCATAAAGAGCTTGAGAACCTCTTCAGAATGTATTCTGAACTCTTCTCTTCTACTTTTGGCTCTCGCACAGAACTTTGGCAAACTGGCTGTGACGTCAGAGTCCAAAGCTTTGATCGGCCTTTATCACGGTCAAGTGACTTGTAAGAAGAACCGATATGGGAACCCGGAAAGAGAAGTCAAGTAAGAGCCATCCAGCATATTTGATCCAGCTTTGCAGATTGAGCCATCAACAGCATCTGGTGGCGTTCATGAGATTTTGCAGGTGTACCCAATGACGTGTGCTCCCCGGTCGATGCTGTCCCGCTGACAATTGCCGTCTGCTCTGTCTTCCAGGACTCTTGCAATCCTGGGTGCAGGGCTAATGGGTGCGGGTATTGCTCAGGTATCCATCGACAAAGGACTCAACACCATACTGAAGGACGCCACAGTCGAAGGCATCAGCCGAGGAGAAGAACAGGTCTACAACAGGTAATATATACAAACCGTTGTACATTCCCGTCCTAATTTGCAACAAGAAAGGAAGGGGATTCACCTTGGTATGTTATCGTCAGTCTCAACACGAAGGTAAAGAAGAAGGCACTGTCCTCTTTTGAGCGCGACGCTACGCTGTCCAACCTCTCCGCCCAGTTAGACCTCACGCGCTTCTCGTCCGCCGACATGGTGATCGAGGCCGTGTTTGAGGATATCAACGTGAAACACAAAGTCCTCAAGGAGATGGAAGCAGTAAGTATATCCTGATCACACCACTCCTCAGTGTAACATTTCTCCCTGCTAGTTTTCTCACATCTGTGCACAGGTGATCCCTCCTCACTGCGTGTTTGCCTCCAACACTTCAGCACTGCCCATTAAGGATATTGCTGCTGCAAGCAAACGGCCCGAAAAGGTGAGAAGACACTTTCTGTCATAATAGACAAACACGGCATTCAAACAATTTGTGTCACATTCAATGAGACTTTTAGCATGACCCGACACATATTTTGTACCGAGGCGCTTTCAACCTTCTCAGATTGGAAGGGCACATTCTCCAAACTGTATGTTTCCATTTTTACACATGTCCAATGGTATTTACATCAGAGGCTCTTCAAAATAACCCGAGGTGTTGTTGTTCACTGTTGTATTATTTCTTAAAAATGGCTTTTTTTTGGCGAGCTGTGTGTCTGTAGTTCTGCTGCTGACACTTAATACGATGATGTGATGCGCAGGTGATTGGCATGCACTACTTCTCACCAGTGGACAAGATGCAGCTGCTGGAGATCATCACCACAGATAAAACGTCCAAGGACACGCTGGCCTCAGCTGTGAGTGTGGGCCTCAGACAGGGCAAGATCGTCATTGTTGTCGGGGTAAGAGCAGATTATCTTCTCTAAACCGAGCTGTACAATACTTGTGTTGCCACAGCGTGGGTGGGATATTCCTATAGTTGTCAACAGCATCAATAGCATTTGTAAGACTCTTGGTTTAAGTGTGTGTGTGTGTGTGTGTCTTTTCTGGAATATCGGATGGTCCTGGTTTTTACACCACTCGCTGCTTGGCTCCCATGCTGGCAGAAGCTGTCAGGGTGCTTCAGGTAATCGAAGGTTTTCCACAGATTTGGCAACCCCATCATAAACAAATGGACACAACACATTTCCTCATTGTATACTAAAACAGCCACTCAACAGTGACCTTTATTTGTGTGTACCGCAGGAGGGCGTGGATCCAAAGAAGCTTGACAACTTGACAACCAGCTTTGGTTTTCCAGTCGGCGCGGCGACGCTTGCTGATGAAGTTGGTATTGACGTGGCAGCTCATGTGGCTGAGGTACCTTCATCCGTATGAGATGTTTAATGCCAGAGTTGTGTCATTTGAACGCCGTGCTCTCAGGGAAGTCCACGCTCAGAAAAGAGTTGGTATGATACCTCCTCTCGGGAATGATGTACTGGATGTATTTGATTGTAGGATCTTGGCAAAGCTTTTGGCTCTCGCTTTGGAGGTGGAAATGTGGAGGTTCTGAAGACCATGGTAGAGAAAGGCTTCAAAGGTGACCTTTTCATCTGTCCGTTTTCCCGCCCTAATCCTCAGTAGGGACATTGCTCAGAATATTACAAATGTTTCCCCACAAATACTTGATTCTCTAAATTTTGCTCGCATTTTTCAATACAGTGTGGCTCTCCGTCCTACTTTAATGCAATACCAATGAGAAAGAGGCTTTAAAAAGCGCAATGAGAACATGACAATGCTTTATCGCTGTCTTTTTGTGTGCTCACAGTGTTTTTATTTTAGGTCGTAAGTCGGGAAAGGGCTGTTTCATCTATGGCAAAGGAAAAAAAGACAAGAGCGTGAATTCCGATGCTGAAGCAATTCTCAAAAGATACAAACTCAGTGCCCCTCCCTCCGTGTAAGGCTGTGGTTTGCGTTTGCTATGTCGTCGCGCCTCTCAGTTTAAGGTCTCCAAAAGTCACCTTGTTTGTTTTGTTTGTTGCAGTTCTTCGGACTCTGACATCCAGTACCGGCTCGTGTCTCGCTTTGTGAACGAGGCCGTGTTGTGTCTTCAGGAAGGAATCCTGACAAATCCAGTAGAGGGAGACATCGGGGCTGTGTTTGGACTTGGCTTTCCTCCCTGCCTGGGTGGTAAGTTGCACAAACAGATTCACGTCATTATCCAAAGAAATGAGTTTCAACCGGGGGGTTAGGAGCATCCCCTCTCACTCAGTCTACAATTGACCGGTGTGCTTGTATTGAACCACTTAAAATCAATACTGATGGCTCATCTTTGCTGCGGTGTGCATTAAGGTCCGTTCAGGTTTGTGGACTCACTTGGCGCAGAGCGTCTAGTCAGCACCATGAAGCGTTTTGAGGAAGTGTACGGAAACCAGTTCACACCGTGCCAGCTCTTACTTGACCACGCTAAAGACTCGAGCAAGAAGTTCCATAATTGATCCCACCATCCTTGGTCATAAATGTGGGTCAGTTTTAATAAGCATCTCTTGGACTGAATCTATTCTCTAATCATGATAATTGATGTAATCGTGTAGAAGTTTGTACATTTGACCGGACTGTAGTTGCAGCTTGAGAATGTTCAAGTAACAAAGACAGGTGCTGAATTAAAAAAACTTGGGCTCTTTTTTGGTCTTGAAGTATTTGTATTCTCTCTATTCCAAATGAAACTGAACCGTGACTAACGCAATTATATAAGAGAGAATTTACTTGAAGCAGGTGCATAAAATTCCCCCACAATTATCAGTAATCATAAAATAACACCTATTCAAAGTGTGTTCAAAATGAAATCTGAACGTGGACATGCATTGTAACCAAGCATGATTTAATTCATTGTTTGCATGACTACATGAAGCGTTTCAAATTAATCTGAGGTACATTTTAGAAACTCTATTTTTGAGGCAGTGAACATTCACACACGACTACAAACAGAACAACAGTGTGTGTTATCCAAAGAGGGAATGTTAAAAAAAAAATTAAAAAAAAAAACCTACAGTGCCCCCCCCCCCAGAAAAAAATGCCGCCCATCAGAGAATACTGCAAATGTATTGATTTTATGAATTGTAGATGGCTTCTAATTATCTTTCAATAGATGGGCACAAAACCTCGAAGCTATTTTGAAGGATTCTAATTGTCTGAAAAAGGAGGCTGTAAATTACTTTTGGCCACTTGAATGGCGTCAAGATCCTCTACTGTGGGTCAAGATAACTTCATTTGTTACCAGCATTGTGTATGGAAGGATCCAATATGCCATGTAACTTTTCACACATTCTTTATGCACTGCCCGCATGTGTGTCTACGTCTTTTGGCATCTTCTGACATTGTGCATATTTGACCGTATGTCATTGCTATTTGTTAGTAAACCAGTTCCAATAAGGGATTCAGGAACGGGTCTGCATGCCACAGCCAATGATGTGTCTGCTGCAGAGTTGGTAGGAGAGGTTTCATTCAAGTCTCACTTGGTCATAGTAGAAGGCACATTAACGATGGCTAAGAAGGCACATTCTCACCCCGCTTGCACCAAGTCGTATAGTTTGGTTCAGGTTGATATGCGATTTCTATGTTTTTATTGTGGAGGGTTATTCGTACCTAACTGATACCATATGATGTCACACTTGTTGCAGTGATTTGGATTGGTCGACAGGGAATTGGTGCGGGTGTTAGATCTTGGGCCTCCACCCTTGTATGAATTGGGTGATCTTCGTGACGTGGAGTCGGCTCAGGTGAAAGTCATGTGACAGGATGTCCTCAGTCAGTTGAACTAAGAGGCTCCCGTCGATTCGCTCCCTCTGGAATATGGCCACCGCGGCCTCCGACAGGCCGATGAAGCGCAGACAGGCCGACACTTCCTCCAATGACAGCGCGGACAAGTCGGCTGGGGGGCGCCAGGTCGAGTCAGCGGGCGCGGCCGAGCCTTCGGTCGCGCCTGCACTTGTCCCGCCTCCCTCCGCGCCTCTGGAAGATTCCGGACTGTCCGCCAGCTCAGGCGACGGGCAAGGCGACTGGCGGTTGAAAGGGTTCAAAGCACCGAAAGGCGCAAAGCGACTTTGCGGCGGCGGAGGTCTCAGTCGAGGCCCGGCGCCGAAGCAGTCCATCCACGGCTCGGCCCAGGTGGCCTGTGCCGTCTGAGGGTTGGTTGCATTGTCAGTGGGGATGGTCGAGACTGGCTCCGGATTGGTGGGGTTGGGCGCGGGACAGTCGGTCCAGGAACAAGGGTAACAGTACAGGGAAGTATCTGGAGAGGGCGAGCAGCTGCAACCCAACAGAGAAAACTCACATAAGCGCCGGACGTCAGTCAGCATGAATCAAAGAACTGATTCCATAAAAGACTTTAATTGGAGGTAGTTTTCCAAGGACTTTCCCCATGACATACTTTAGGAATAAACAGAACTGATGATGATGATGATGATTTGTTCCCACTGATTGAAACGCTCTCCAGTAATTCCAAAAGGAAGGTGACTGTACCTGTCCTGCAGTCCTGAGGAGTAGAAGGAAAGATGAGGTCTGGAGCAAGTGGAGGCCTTGGTGAAGCGAGGGGGGACAGGAGGGCTGGGAGCCGAGCTGGAGATGGAGCCCACTTTAGAGCCACGAGGAGGGACTGGAGGAGCAATCAAGTAGCGACACTCCTCTCTCACCTACACACACATACACGCGCAGAGAAATGAGAACCACAGCAGGCGCAGTATGTGTGTGTGTGTGCGTGTGCGTGTGTGTGTGTGTGTGTGTGTGTGTGTGTGTGTGTGTGAGTGAGTGAGTGAGTGAGTGAGTGAGTGAGTGAGTGAGTGAGTGAGTGAGAGTGTACTGTTGCCTTGTGTTCTGGTTGGTAAATGTCAAACTTGTGTGACCTTTACACTTTCGACAAAATTCTTAACTATGCTCGATCCACACACACGTCTGCACGCAAAGCTTGGCAGACTAAATTTCAGGCAATGAGTAACACAGTGTGAGTCAGGCTATAATACAGATGGCGGCTCCCACACGACATTTACAATTCTGTTGTCAGGGGCCATGATTGAAAGTGGGCAATTGAAATCAAAGAATACAAGTCTTATGTGGATAAACAAAAGGGGGTCACTGTGCTCGAGTTAACTAGCAAACGACATCTTACCTTAATCAAAGTATCATAGCAAACATGTCTTCCGTTTTTGGCTTTATCAATTCGTATCCTGCATTATTTTGATATTGCCGTTTACTTTATTGCATAATACTTAGTGACCCTTTACCTTTTTTTAAAATCTTTCACGAGACATATATTAATTAAAACTAATACTAAAACTAATAAAAATGGCACTAAACCGAAGCATTTCCCCAAAAATAAAAACTAACAAATCAAAAAGGCAAAACGAAATAAAAAGGAACTGTAATGAAACTCTTCTAACCCTGGCGTGCATCGAGAAATAACACTGCATTCGTTTTTAAAACATTGATGTGTTTTGCGCGTACGGCAAGCTGTCCGGGAGTGTTTTATTTGTGTAAGTGAGGTTTAAAATCGCTAATAATTCATGAGCGGCATCCTCACTCTTAAGAAGCGGATGCTGCTTCAAACTGAAGCACGTGTTGAGGAGGAACTCACAGCATCAGATTTTGGCGGTACTGGCGGTGGAGCGGTCACTGTTGTCACCACGGTGCCCAGAGACCCATCCATTGAGGAGGAGGAATGGAAGGAAATGAGGTTTGGTTCCTTTCCAAGGCCGTCCGCATTCTGACTGGTCCAAAGTTCCTCGTAAGGTATCTCCTCAGCGGTCCTCATTTCAGCCTCGGTCCACTCAGGGGTCACATACTCTCTCTTCTCACCTGGTCCCTCCCCAAGCCGGACCCCAAGAGAGTCCCCGCAGCGCTCCGATAGGCTGTCCGAGACCCCGCCCCCGTAGCTGCACATTGACAGCCGTTGCAGGGCCGGCGCCAACGAGTCCTGCGCCGACACACACGTGCGCGAGCGTCGCGGGCTCACGCACTCCTCCGTCATACACTCCAACTCGGGACGGGTTTCCCTCACAGCTCGAGAGTAGGCGTCGGGGTCGAAGGCGTAGCGCAAAAGCAGGCTCTCCACGGCCGCCGCGTGCGCGGAGGCGTCGGCCACGTTGAACCGGGGCATGCAGCGTAGCAGCAGGAAGTGGGAGGGCGACACTTCCTGTCGGCGAAGGACCATACAGAGCACCACCGTCTTGCTGACGATGTTGAGCAGCTTGAAGCGGTGGCCTTCTCGTACCGCGTGGCGGTCGTAGGGGTTTTGCGGCGGCCGCGATGGCACGGACACGTTGACGGGGAGGCGCACCCGCTCGATGATGCTGCGCACCGTGTGCTCTCCGCCCAGCATGCCTTGCTCCAAAGGGGAGCGTGTGCAAAAGCGTCCGCGGCAGGCAAAAGGCAAGCTGAGGCTCTGATTGGTGCGATGGTTCATACACACCAGGCAGGGAGTTTTACCTATCCGCAAAGAAAAGATAACTCAGTCGATGGCAATCTGCAATTTAACTGGGGTATGTGCACGCGTGCCAATAATTGCCCCGTGTGTCGCCGTTTTGGGCAGGTACGCTGAAGTCGAAGTCAATGGAACGGAACGTTCTTCGATAACACCAGTGGTGACTGAATGCTTCGGTGCGTCCCTTCTTACTTCGGGGAGTCTTTCCCAGGCGCCTCAACAGTGCGCTCAGCCCCGTCTTTTCCTTGGTTGGCGTGGCGCATAGAAGCTCGGCCTTCCCCATGAGCGACAGCTCATCTCCAGCCTGCAGAGTGAAGCTGTAGGGCTCGCTGTCCTCGCTGAACTCCCCCGAAACCACCTGCGCAAATGCACACGTGCATGACATAAAGGCCATCAAAAGAATGTAAGCAGCCTTCCGTACATACAGTCACCGGCCCGATCGGAATTTTTGTCTGCAATCGTTTCTCCTTTGACACTTGTCAGTGAATAACTGTAGGGATGGACCTGGCATATTCCGAGGGTGGATGGTTCGAATTTGGTTGCGATCCTGTTCACAATTATTCACTTGGGCAGAGGTCCGCGCTCGACTGAACGCCATTCTAGTCTAGTTGTGCGTGCATAGCAAATGTTTTGGTCAGTGAGTGCCCATAATGTCGAAAGTGTAGTTAAGTCTGCGCATTCCTCAAGAGGGGCAACGAGGCATGAACCTTGATGCTGAAAGTGATTGTTTCCATGACAAAGACTCGGTCGGGGAACACTCCGGCGACCTCCTCCACGCTGGAGAAATACTGGACGGGATCCCTGATGTCTCTGTCTTCATCCAACAATTTGAACTTTCCTGCGGAGAAACAAGAGCGACATAGAGAGTAAAAGAAGGGTCGGGGCCATTTCCACGCCGCTATTATTGACGAACAAGATTGAGGAGATCAAGGGTACAAAAGAGTCGATTGGAAACGAAGGTAAGAAGTGTTTTTGTGTTCCTTTTGATTGCCAGCATTCTTCTTCGGCTTACAAAAACACATCTGCTGCGCACACAGTTCCGGATGACAGGAGCACAAAGACACCTCGGTGACCTCTGACCTGGCACCGGCTCTCGAGCCAATCAACAGTCGACGGGGTCGTCATGGCAACCGGCAAAGGACCCCCATTCTCACGCTGAGCAGAGACACATCACCATGGAGACACCTACACACTCACGCACACACAACCCGCTGCCTTTTCTTTCACTTCCTCGTCCCCTCCTTCGCCCGTAAATCTTTCCCACTCGGTGATGGGAAGCAGGCAGCGTTGCAGACTAGTAACGCTGTTTGTTTTTGTTTGATGGGTGCTCCTTTTTGAGTTCAATTCAATTGGCCCCAAGTGACCCCTAAAGAACAGTTTAAGATGCTATTGCGGTCTGACTCGTTCAAGGACAGGTTAATCCGAATGCTGGGTGGATGTTCTCTTGAATCCCGAGAACCCCCAAAGGTCCCTGTATTTCTTGCCTATGAGAGGGAGGGAGAGAGATTTATTTTTTTGTCTGAAAGCCAGCGCAGAATACCAAACTCCAGCATCTTATTTGCCAGTAAGTCCCTCCTTCATTCTTCCCTGCATTCACCCCCACAATCTCCAGCCAAACAGCTCCCGGGATAAGACAAGACAGAACAATACCGGCAAATGTTGCATCCCAACACCCCCTCGCTCACTGGATGACAGCGAATGAACTGGACATGGGTTCGATGTGACAACAGGGAATTCCACAAGTCCAGAACATGTTAAAAATAGGATGACTGGCTGGAAATGAAGGCGCAAATGAAAGCCAAAAGATTTGACTACGATGCATGTAAGTCCCTTACAAATACTGGCCCTTTATACATATTCTAAATCAGGGGCGCCCAACTAATCGATCGTGATCAACCGGTTGGGCACGGACTGGTCCCAAGTTGATCGCACAGGGTGGAGTGAAAAATGAAGAAAAAATAATATATATACAGTATTTTTGTTTCTATGTGCGTGTTAATAATATGACATCTTTTTGTGTAAGTGTACACTGCACCCTAAGCATTGATCCGTTTTTCAATCAGAGCTATTGTGATATGTCTTCTTTTTAATCATTCAAATTTTGTTTCATGTGCAATTCACCGATGGCACTGGCAAAGGATGGGAATGACCTACGATCATGATGTTCCTGCAGAAAGTGTGTCCTGTGACTCCTCGTCAGGTCCCTACTAAGGTAGGCATTGATTTCCTTTTCTCAAACTCTTGTATTTTTCTGTTTCGTTCATGTTGGGGGCCCGTTGTGGCTGTTGCTCATCAATGGCTTGCGTGCGTGCGTGCGTGCCGATACATCCCGCAAATCCATATTTTCAGCCGTAAAAGCATTCGGACTGGCTGTCAGGCGGCACTGAGGCCCATTCATGGCATGGGGATCATTCAGCTTTTCTGTCCTCTCCAGCTCAGTCATCACTTGAGAAGGAGGCAAGAGAGAGCGGGCAAAAGAGAGCGAGAGGAGCATCCTGTTGTGTATCCCCCAGAGGGGGGGAAACCTATATTGCTCTCCTCCTAAGCATATTTGGACTTCCTGGATGAAGTCATCACACAGACATTAGCTCATCACTGCCAGTGGCTTGTGATTCAGCCCAGCAATTACCTGCCATATTTGGAAGTGAGTCAAAAATTAATCATGCGGCTACATTCATGTTTGAAGCGCATTTTGCTTCCAATAATCATAAATTTATGACAAAATAATATTAAGTATGCGGATGAAGACATGCAGCGTAAGTAGCAAGACCGAACATGAAAATGCTGTACAAGTAAACTCTCAATTTTTATATATATATATA